CACCAGGTGGTTTTCATTCACAGAAAATTTGGAAGGGTGATGCTGATCTCATTGTTTATGACTACAAGTCCAATCAATAAACATTTCCGAGTGCTTAGAAGAAAAAAAAAGAAATAGTTTCAACAGATGGTCCACATTGGACCTTACCCAGAAACTGGAGAAGGGGGAGGGTCAAATGCAAAGGGAGCATCTTTGAATTACTGGACCCAGTTCTAGCTTCCTTCCACTTCTCTTTCCTCAAGTGAAGGGTCTAGCCTATGGGCAGAGGCATAACAACCACCATTTGACCTTGTACCAGAACCACAGCTCATTGCACTTCAGCTTTCTGAAGTTTCCAGTTTCCAGTTGTCAACTGGAGTCGTGAGGAGTAAATGAAGTTCCGTTGCAAAGTTCAGAGCACAGTGCCTGGGACATAGCAAGCCCCCAATAATATATGTTAGCTCTTGTTATTTAGGTATCTGTTATGTGCTAAGCCCAGTGGTAGGTATTTTACAGATTCATTTTAACCCTCGCAAGAGCCCTAAACAATCGATCTTGTTAGCTCCATCTGAGGATTTGGTGGCATGGAGGTGAAGCCATGTGTCCGAGGTGAAGCCATGTGTCCAAGGTGAAGCAGGAGTGAAGGTGCCAGAATCAAACCAGGTCGGCCTGACTACAAAGCCTGTGCCATCGCTGTGGTTTCCAGAGTAAACAGTGTACGAGCAGGCACCTCTGTGTAAACAGGACCAGAGCCACCAGGCTAAACAACTCCCTGCTCCACGCAGTACAGGGTAATTCATATCCACCGAGTAAACAGAACATTCTGGGCAAGAGTTCCCTTGTGTCAACTCGCCTGTCCTAGGAATTTTCAGTATATACATTGGAGCCCAACCAAAAATTCAATGTGAGGCTGATCTTTCTTGAGATCCCTCCTGAGGGGCTTAGCTAATAATAGACTGAGAGGACCTTCCCATGAGGTGCTTGTACTCCTGGGACTGTCCCTTGACATCTCCCAGAAGATGACTTTTTTAAACGGCTCTGACATAGCTCAGTCCCCAAGTCTCTAGGGAGTTTGAGGTCCACAGTTAACGCCTTGTGGGCTCCCTGTTTTGGCTCCGCACTCCTTGCGCCCTTGCCTGAATTAGATACCTTCTGTGTGCTCTCAGCGCACCGTAGCAAGCACCCATTAGAACACCGTGTCACATTCCCTTTGCCCATGTCTTTGCCTCTCTTCCCACCCAGTTGAGCGCAGAGTGCTATGTCCTACTCACCTTGTAGTCCCAGAAATTATCACTTTTCAGAGCAATAACGGAAACCACAGCGTTGTTATAGTTGACATTTACTGTCTACTTACTATGTGCATTTTTAAGTAGGTACTGTTGTGAGCCTCACTTTGAAGACAAAGAAACCAAAGCACAAAAAGTGCCTTATTTCTAAAATCACAAAACCATAAGTAGTAGAGCTGGATTTGAACCCAGGCAGCTTGATTCTGGGCCCATCCTTCTAACCAGTACTCTCATGTTTCCACGTAGCAGATGCTTAATTAATTTATATTTGCAAATGAATACACATGTGGATATAATTGCTGTATTTTGAGAAATATGATATCCATTCCTTAAATCTATGCAATAATGAGCCGTGTTACAATAGAGCTCTTCTATACTTTCTGCTTCTGTTCTGCATTCTTAACCTCTGTGTGCTCGCTCAGGGGAGGCAGTGAACATGGCTTAGGAAAAAATGCAAGTTCTGGCACTACCATTGATGAGCATCACTTCTGGGGGCATGTTACTTATTCTTTCTTAGCGTCATTTTCCTCACCTGGAAATGGCGGTAATAACGGTGTCTACCTCATACAATAAACTTAACGGAAATAATAATATAAAGGGAATAATAATATGTCACCATTTTGGAACACAGTCATTCAAACAAACATGAGCAGGTTTAGTTATTGTTGTTATTGTTGTCACAAATGTTTGCTTTTAAAACTTTATTATTGAGAGCACTACTTCCTATAGGTGGACAAGGAGTTCTGGGGCCAGGGCGACACCAACTGATATTGCTTCAGTCTCAAGTCAAGTCACCAAACTCTGGGCAGTGTTTTGACCCATGAATTCCAGAGGCCTGCAAAGCATTCCACATCTAATGGAGTCTTCGTCCATTACCCACCTCTTTGTCCTGTAGTTTGCACTGGAAGGTTCCGGTAGCCTGGGCAGAGAAGGGAATCGGGGGTGTCCATCGTCTGGACCGGCCATCTGATGAGCGGCGGCCACACAGGCAGAGCGGACAGCTGTATAACAAGGCTGTCTGACAAAAACTAAATACCTAACATCTAAGGAGAGCTGCCACTTATCGTACAGTTGGCAAGGAACTTCACACATGGTAGAAAGTCATTTATTCATTCAACAATATTTATTGAACCAGGCAATGTTCTAGGCTCAGGGAATCAATAATGACCAAAAACAGATAAAGTCCGAGATATTTAGGGTTTTTTTATATTTCATATGCATTATCTCCATCAACAGAGTAGTCAGCACATTGCGATGTCAATGTTATCATTCCCATTTGATAGATGAGAGAGCTGAGGCTCAGAGAGGTTAAATACCACACCTCAGAGCTGCCATTGGTGAGCTTAGGATGTGAATCCGGTTCTTCCTGATGCCGAAGCCCACTCTTTAGCCACAATACGATACTGCCCATCACGGGAATAGCAAATGCCAGAGTCCTCTGCGTGCACACACGCATGTGTGTGTGTTGAAGGGTAGAGGTGTTTATTAATTCAGAAATCTAAGTAGCTGTCATCATGACACAGCAATAATTGTGATCAATATGCAAACTGCAAAAAGCTCTGGTTGCGGCTGCTCGTCTTGAGCTCAGTCTATCGTTTTACTGCATTTGGTCAAAATCAGTGGTCCTTGCCTGCCCCCAACAGAGGGAAGAGCCTGTGTGCCTAGGTTGATAAGCAGGTAGAAGCTCTGAGATCCAGTGGTTCATTCACAGGCATGCCGGCTGAGTAGCTTCTGGGTGCCCTCCAGAGCCTGGACAGGGCCCGTGGGCACCACGCCCATTGAGATGTCGTCCAAGCCCAGGGAGCTGGCACTCAAATGTCAGCGACTCTCATGGAAAGAGTGAAATGCACTGGTCTGTTCAGGGCTGTGGGTTTTGGGGCCCAGAGCCAGTAAGCCTTTTGCATGCCTGTTCCCCATGGACTGGGAAGGAAGTTTCAGAGGCAGCCTTTCAAATGCCACTGAAAAGGAGAAGGCGGGAGGGCAGCTGGACATTGCAGTGGAGCATAAAGAGCCCAAGAGTAGTGCTCTGTTCTGGGTCAGGGTCTTTGTGGCCTCATTTTGCTTCCAGGGGATGCTACCGTTTCTAGGCGACACAGTCACTACTTAGCTTTGCAGGGCTACTTCCTCAGTCTGTCATTTCTGAAGCTGTCCGGTTGCACTCTGATCCCACTGACATAACCTCACAGTGCAAGGGCAGTGCAGTCAGTCAGGAAGGATGTTGCCGTGGGACATCAGAGGACCCGGATTCTGGCCCTGGCTCTGCCCCAGCTGGCAGAGGGGCCTTGGACAAGTGCCTTCGCTCCTGGGCTTTCCTTTCTTTACCCAAAAAGCAAATGGGGTGGAACTGGATGGTGATGTTTCCTGTGATCTCTTCCGGCTCTAAAATCATGTGTTTGTTAACTGAGTATTTGCAGCCTTAATGTGTCCTTTTTATTATTATGCCCTCTTTTTTAAAACCACATTTTCTGCTCCTTAAACACAGCATTCTTTCTATTGTTTCAGTGCCCATGGGGCTGGTCCTTATTGTTGATACTTATTTTTATTTTAATGAATGACTATACCAGGAAATCATGAATGAATGAAACTACTGTCACCTGCTGGTGTCGCTTCCAGACTTTGATTTCCCGTGTTTCAGTGTGGGCTTGATAAGAGAATTGAGATAACCAGTATGAGGCTTTCAAATGGCGTAGGCACCCAGAAATCGATTTCTAATTATTGTTGCTGCTGCTGTCATAATTACATGCTCTGTTTTCTGAAAATACGGAATAGTGTGCATTGGGATTTATAACCACCTTTTTTCAGTAAGGAAGTTTTTTCTCTTGTTAATAATATTCACTTACTTTAATGGTGGCATCCTGTCTTATTCACTTACCATAGTTTATTCTCCCAAACGCTTAATCTTACACATCAGTCCACTCAAGTTTTTCCATGTTATACTTTATTTTAAAAATAAAGTGTACTGATTTTGTAACAGGAAAAATGTTTTTGATAAATAATGCCGACCCTGTGGCACTGTCAGCCCTGCCCACTTGAGGACAGTAGTGATGGGACGGCTGTGGGAAGGCGTGTGAAATGCTGAGTACGAGCAGCCTCTGCTCTCCGCACGCAGATGTGATCGCCATCAGTTATGCTGGCACTGAAGGAGAGGAGAGCCGTTCTCCTAAGTCCAAAGCAATGTACCTTTTCTTTCTCGAACAGAAGTAGGAGAAAATGTGGGTCCAGGTCCTACAGGAAGAGGATCCAGCCAGAGATGGGAGGCCTGGGTTGGAGCTCCCTTCTGCTGTCTGGCCCCAGACCAAGGGCTTAACCTTCTGGACCTTGGTTTATTTTTCTGTGAATGAGAATTATCAGTACTGTTGTTCTCATTGCCTGCCCTCTCATCACTGGTTTGGAAGATGGAAATGGGAGGTTGTGAGCATAAAGGGAAAACATAGGTAAAAAGTTAATGTGAAGCAGTAAAGTAAATGTACAGAAGTGAGTTAAAGAGAATATGCGGTCACTGGCTCTTTGAGTACCGTTCGTCTCTGGAGCTGAATGTATCTAGAGTTAACAGTGCTTTTCAAGAAAATCCTTACCCCACACACCGCCACTATGAAGAGGCAGCAAGAGCAGTAATTCAACCCACTACTCTTTTCATGCTTTTTATTTTTAATCTTTGCCAGATGTAGACTGGCAATGAGCCCAGAGGGTGAACACCTTCTAATAGATGTACTTTTGTTTTTGTCTTCCTTCTAGACAAAGAATTCTTGAAGGAAAAAGAGAAGTTAGAAATGGAGTTAGCAGCAGTGAGGACTGCAAGTGAGGACCACCGGAGACACATTGAAATCCTGGACCAGGCTCTGAGCAATGCCCAGGCCCGGGTCATCAAGCTGGAAGAGGAGGTGAGACGGGGTGGGAGGGTTTGGGACGGGGGGAGGCAGAGCCCCGAGGGCCTCCATTTCCTTTTTCTAACCAAGCATATTTAACCAGAGCCAAGGTTGAGTAGGAGGAGGGATGTAGGAGACCTCCCAAATAAAAATTAATAAAAACAGAGTTGATCCAATGCAGAGCCAGGCAAGTATGAAAGGCATACATGAATACCATCAGCAAAGGGCCCACTCTCTGCCTCAAAGCCAGCCTGCAGCCCATTGGTTGGCAAGTGACCAGGGCTAGAAATAAGTGGAAGGACTTACAGAAAAGAGACCAACAATTTTTTTTTTTAAATCATTCACTAGCTCTGTCTTTGGACTCTTGATTGCATTAAAAAGGCAAACTCCTCTGATGGGGTGGGGTAGGGTGGCATTCGGCACACCCGTCTCCAGTTTTCAGAAGTTGGCTCAACTGTGCAATGACCCACCCACCCCCCACCCCCAAATACAGGCAAGTTTGATCTCCCTTAAGCATTATGGATTGGTAGTTTCTGATAAAACTAACCATTTAAATTGTTTTGTGAGGTAGACTTTTCCTTTAAGCCTGACTGTGGAAGTAGAATAATGACTTCTGAGGTCAAAGCTAGGGGATTCAGGCCATAGACAGTGTCCGAAAAGGAGGAGAGGTCTAACTGGGTAGGCAGAAGCCACTCTGGGAAGTAGGAGCCCCAAGTCTAGAAGGCTCATGATCCAGATAGTCTACACAAAGTGTACTGCTTGGTGCCTGATAGACAGTAAAAACAGAATTGTTATTAATCCAACTGTTGCTGCCACTGTTGAAAATAAAAAGCTATTCCGTCAGAAAACATGATGCCGGATAACTCAATGTCTCAGCGAACTTCAGCTTCAGGTTAAAGCAGCTAAAGGGGAAGATTGTTAAGTCTACAAGAGGCTTGTCCATTAGAAACTGTTTAAACGCTATAAGTCTTACACAGAAACGGCAGTTTTAGTGCTGGAACAGTCTGAGGAATCTCAGGGCAACAGCCCTGAGTACCTTCCTGGTCACCACTGACGAACTCATTACAGGAAAACATTTGCCACAGTGAGTGACCTTAGCCCCTGAAGGACAGGGGACCTACTGTGAGGACAGGAACCCTTATTATTGTTATAACTGAAATCACTTATTGAGGTTCCTTCTCAATGTGTGGGTTGGGGGAAAGTTATAAAAGTTTTAATCTTTTTGTTTTAATATTTCAATGAAAGTAAAAGTTGTGAACTCCTTGAATACAAGTTCTTTGTAATCATCGTTATGGATCTTTTCTTGTCATTATATTGATGTCAGGTCTTTGATTGGGTGTAGCCTTTTCAAAATGTCTCATGTGTCTGTCTTCCAGAGCACTCCTTGCTCTTATTCACGTTCCTTTTGAAGGGCCTTATTCAGTCCAGGTGGCCTGTATAGTGTGCTTATCATAACCTCCCTTGAGGCTAAGGGCTTAGACTCTGAGCCAGAGTACTGTGAGCTAGAATCGTGACCCCGGGATGGATGCATCTGCTTGCTGTCCTTGAGCAGTCACTTAACCTCTTTAGTCCTCAGTTTTCTCATCTCTTAAATGGAGATAATACAGCAGTTTGCCTTTTACTATTATTGGGAAGATTAAATGAGATACTGCATATAAAGCACAAAGCTTGGCAGGGCTTTTGGTGCTTCAAAAATGTTGGCTGATATAATTATTGTTATTAATCATCTTCATCATAATAGACTCTTTGCTAACGTTAAGGCTGATACAAAGGTAAATGAGAGAGATCCATGCCTTCAAGAATTTTGCAGTTGATTAGAGATGTTAATTCGTTCACTTAACAAGTATTATTTTATTGAGTACCTACTGGATGCCAGGCATTGGGGACACACTGTACACTCTGTCCAAAAGGGACCAAAACAGACCAATCTCATGGCTTTTATAGTCTACTACCTACACACTTAGAAAATTGTATACAATCTAGGATGTGTAAATGGTATATGAATGGTACTCACAAAGTATTTGATCAGATGAAGCTTTTAGAATAGGAACCTGCAGTTAGTAGGTCCTCAAGTGCCTATTAAATTAAATCAAGCAATCAAAATACAATGAATGAAGGAGCTAGATGAAAATTGATCCCAATAGCAGGTGTAAAGAAGGCTGTCAAGTTGCTGTTTTTTCCACCCCCCACCCCTACCCCACCTTGAAAGATCGGAAGCACTTCCATTTTACTCTGGTGGCTTTGCCTAGGATAGAGGCACATAGCTCACAGCAGCGCAGCCTGCTACATCAGAACCACCCTTCACAGCAAGCTCCCGAACCCCTGGCGTGTCCCAGCCTGCCAGTGCAATCATGGTGGAGCCCAGGACCTGAGTCACCTGCAAGGCATTCGCACTCCCAGATGCAGGACGACAGGAAATAGCATCTAATGGCTTCTCACTCAGGACCAGATACATACGTATCTGTCTGATTTTTGGCACCAGCCAATTCCCAGAAAGTTAGAAATGTGCCAAGGATTCATGACCATGGCCCAAACTCCTAACTGAAAGAAAACAAAGTCTGAGGGTAAGAATTTGAAGCTGTTCATCAGGATTCTCAACCCATACAGATGTGGCATTTATATAAATTATTTTTACCTTAATTTCCATCTTGGCGTCTATGTTGAGTGTCCGTTGTGCCCTTCCTGCCTCTTCAGCTTCCTGCCTTTACAGACAAGTAGCCTCTGTCAGCTACTTGTCTGTAAAGACTCTTAAACCTTCGGGAGAAAGTTATTCCACAAATATCTAGAATAAGAAATTTTTTTATTTATTCACACACATGGGCACACATGCATATACACACTACACAATTCTCTATTATTATAGTAATTTATAATTGTGGAAAATCTGAAAAATACAGAAAAGAATAAGGAAGATGAGAAATTACTATTCAGCCATACAGATAAACATGGTTAATGGTTTTAAGTATCTCCTTTTAGTCTTTTTTCTTCATAGATAGATATGTAGACAGAGTTTTGATAATGTATATAATTTTTTATTTTGGGTTTTTCAGTTAACATTATAGAATAAGCATTTCCTCATAACATTAAAAACTCTTAACCCCATTTCTAACGCCCGCAAATGCTATGATTACTAAGCAATAAACAAGGATTGAGCTCAGAGCTGTACAAATAATTGAAGGCAGGTTCCCCAATAGGGTCTTCAGTTCCAAGTATCCCAGCCGTGTTAGGTATAACTGGTGGCCATGTCTTAACATTTTCTGTCCCAGCACACGTGAGTGATAGGAGTGCGGAGGGTACATGCACTGGTAGTTTAAGTCAGTCTCTGGGTAATGCTGGGTAATCTGCTTCCCACCTCCATCCCACTGTTGAAAATTACTGGTCTAAATTCTGTACTCCATTTTTCTCTCCTCTGCTCAGTTACGAGAGAAACAAGCCTATGTGGAGAAAGTTGAGAAGCTGCAGCAGGCCCTGACCCAGCTGCAGTCTGCGTGTGAGAAGCGAGAGCAGATGGAGCGGAGACTTCGGACCTGGCTGGAGAGAGAGCTGGATGCCCTGAGAACTCAGCAGGTGAGGGGGTGGGGGAGGGCCCACGACAGCGAAATATGCACATTCCTTTGGCACAAACAGGTCTGGAGCAGAGCCCCTGCTGTGGGCCAGGCTCTGCACTCTGCACTGAGGATGCGCAGGTAAAGGAGAACTCCCTGTCCCAGTGAACCAATGCAGCGGCCAGTGGAGGAGCCAGGCAGCCCACCCACTGGGGTGACAAATGTCCTTGCAGAAAGAGGCGACCCTGGGGGCTGGGCATAGGGGAATGTGGCTTTAGACGGCTTCGCAGAGAAGGATACTTGAGTTGGACTTTGAAAGTGAGTTTCTTGGGGGTGCCCCATGGGGTGAACCTCTGGTAAAAGAAAAGCATGTGGAAAGGAGAGAGGCGCCGTGGTGCGGCAGGTGCGGGACGGCTGGGGGCAGCTCGCCAGGGGAGACGGACCCGTCAGTCGCTGATGAGGGGAAAGCCGGTTTGTGGAAGGCATTTGGTCAAGTAGAGAGACAGAACTTTTTCCTAGAACCAACAGCCAAAGACAGGAAGTTTTTAAGCTGGAGAGGAACATGTTACCAAGAATTGGGAAAAGAGCCCTCTGGTGGTGGCCCGAGGGTCTGGAGGGGCAGATGGGGAAGCCAGGCAGCCGGCTGACGGCTGATGGTGCCGCCCAGGCTGCAGTGGCAACGGGAATCCACAGGGGAGCTGGCAAGGGGGTGAGATGAATAGGGCATGAACGTTGGGGCATATTCAGAGGTAAAGGGGAGGAAGTTCAGGACTGTCCCAGGAATACAGTGTTGTCCATAAGCTCCTAATCCTTCTGCCTCACTTTCTCTATCCTTGTAACAGCTATTAATGTAACTCGGGTACAAATAAGTGCAGAGTAAAACACCCCAGGCCCGAGTCCATGCGCCTCGGCAAGGGGACAAGTCCTGCAGGATGGCTCTGTGGCTGGACTGGAATCCATACAGGCCGGTCAGACTCCTGACTCCAGAGAGCGCCCAGGCCAGTGTGGTGGGCAGAGCCCTCTGTGCAGCTAATGAAGGGCGTGCCCTGCATCGGGACCCAGGGAATGCCGGACGGCTCCACAGAATTATCTGCTGGATAGGGCACAGTGGTTGTGGTTGAAACACTTGAGAGCACTTGAAAGCGTACGCGCAGGCCAGCCCAGCCCTTTCTCATGGCAGGCGCCCACAGTTCCCTCTGGGTGTGTGTCCTTGGAGAAGGTGTTAGTGACATTGCCCAGAACTTTAAAAAACCCACCCGGCCTCCCACCATCTTGGCTTAGTTGACAGCACATGAGGAAGGGCGAGTCTGTCTCTGGACGTCTGCTCCTTCTAACCTGCGCCACATGCCCTGGCACTGTGGTCACCCCTCAGCTGTTCACTGTTGTGCAGCTGCTGAGATCTTCACCTCCCCAGGGCCGGAGGGCAGGCTCCTCTGATTCCTGGTACCGTGCTGGCGCCGGGGATGCTTACAAACCTTTGGCTGACAAAATGGGCACATCTCAATATTTAGAGCAAAAAAGAATGTTTGTTTCTAGTTACTGTGTCACCCACACCCTACAGTTGGATTACTTATCTTTGGACCTTCTATTTTGAGTCAGTGAAACCTGACTCAACTCCATTATCCCTGCTGTGTACCGAGAAGAAATGTGAAGTTCCAATTATTTGAAAAATATCTCTCTTGCCTCAGAGGGCCGTGCACACACACGCCGCTGTTTCCTCGGACTGCGGAAACAACATCCCCGCTGTGCACACAGGCTGCGGGCGGAGTCGGGCCTGCCTGCGGAGGACAGAGGTTTCGGAATGAAGGCTTTCCAAGGAAATGACTGCTTGCATTTCGAATTTAGTTTTGGGGGCTGATAGCAGACCCCAGCTGTTCATGGCTGACATGAGACCAAAGAGAGTGGAGATAGTCTTTAGAGTTAAACAGAACTCTGTTTAACTCGGCATTTCTCTAAAAATAATATTATAGTTTTTTAAAATGAGCTTGTTAATCTGTCTTTTATGATATGAAAGATAGGAATGTCCTTGTTTTACCTACTCATTAAAAAGAGGAGTATTTTTTTAATTTTATTCTTTAATACCTTTTTATTCTATCATTTTATGAGTGATCGTACAGTATTCTATAACTCTAAAAGGTAAAATTTTATTACAAATATATCCACTCAAAATCCTTGAGTTTCTGACTAGTTCCATGTGGTATATACTATAAAATTTGGTCAGACTCCTATCTGTGTGCTTGAGTGTTGAAATTCATGCATTTGTGTAATATCTCTTAATGACCTGAATTAGGTGTTCCGTAAAGAATTGTTGTGATCCCATGTGAGGTTAAAAGAATTCTACAAAAATAAGCCAGCTAAGAGGGCAACATTAGGATTTAGATAGAAACTGACTGGCATAGACGGCAGCTTAGCAAGGCTGTAGGATCTCATTCTTGGAATGTTTCTAAGAACAGGGGAGCTTCTCGTCTTGAAGGACTTGATGTCCTCCTGCCTGAGGCCAGGCCTGGCTGGGGGGGGGGGGCAGTCAGTAACTTCCTGCATTGATCAATGAGAACAGTTGTGTGCCTTCACTCTATTCTTGCTTAAATATTGGTTACCGGCAAGATCCTAGAATAATTTGTATTTGTAGTTTTAAAAAATTGAATGGAAACATGGTGTACAAAAGCCCATGGGCCCTTTTTCTCTTTTTTCTCTGATAGGATTAGATTCCATTAGGGCAGCTCAAACGCCTAGCTGTTGCCTCGATAATTTATGTGGTTCAGGATAAAGCATTCAGGTACCTCTCATCTTGCATCCAGCTCTGCATTTTAAATCTGTGATCACTGAAACACATGTGGGCACATAGAGTAGCTGGGGTGAAATCGCTCTCCCCTGAAGTCAGAACCTCATCAAACCCCATCATCCTCTAAGTCATGCTATTTAGAGGAAATAGCATACCTGAGTTGAAAGGGAAAAAATCTGAAATGTGAATATCCTCAGCTTGTGAGCAGCCCAGATGACTGAACCGCTTTATTTCCTATCTTACAGACATGATGAAAAGAAAGGGCTGGACTTGCATTAGGAGATTTTTGTAGCACTTGACTTTGTTTAGCCCTTTAAAGTTTATTAAATGCTTTCATGTGCATTATCTTATTTGATTCTCAGGCTTCTAAGTGGGACAGGTATTAATTTCTGTGGTTCCCAGATGAGAGCATTGCAGCTGGGGGAGCGTGCGTGTTAGGGCATCTCACTCCCTGTTCTCTGGCCTTTACATTTTATCTCCAGTCTTGGGGGAAACAAACACCTGGAATCACTTCCTTGAGCTCCAGAGACAGTACCCTAGACCAGGAGGCCAAGACTTAGTTCCTATTCTTGCTTTTGTATAAATTAACTGCAGGACATTGGACAAGCCACTTGTCATGCAGAGCTGTATGCAAAGACACACTGACCCAGGTTCAAATCCTGACTCCAGTGCCCATTAGCTCAGAGACTTGGAATAGTTCGTTTCACCTCTCAGAGGCTTAGTTGTCTCACCTATAAAATTGAGGTAATATTTTCTATTTATATTATAAAGTTCCATGACTAGGAAATAAGATAGAGGAATTTGGTAGGTGGGTTTTCTTGCTGTTAGGATCTGCTAAGTTTGGTTGTCCACTTAGAGGGAGAAAGGGTGTGATGGTAATGTGTGTGAATGAGCTGAGGATCTGGATGAACCGTGATTGCTCCATGTGGGCAGCTGTGCAGGCGCCGTTTATGTGGTCTACTTTATAACCCCGTTTCAGCACCAAGATATTATTTCTCCTGCTTCTCCAGAAACATGGAAACAGCCCACCAGCCAGCATGCCGGAATACAACGCCCCTGCCCTTATGGAACTCGTGAGGGAGAAGGAGGAACGAATCCTGGCCCTGGAGGCTGACATGACCAAGTGGGAGCAGAAGTATCTGGAGGAGAGCACCATCCGGCACTTTGCCATGAACGCCGCAGCCACTGCTGCCGCCGAGAGGTGAGACCGGCCGCGAGCTCAACAAAGGGGTTCCATTCAGTTATGTAAAGTACAGTCACGCAGTGGAACACTAAGTGGTCTTCAAGAGAGATGTTGTGAAAGTCTATTTCACGTTCATTTTTTGACAGTGGGTATGTGTCAGAAGAGTCGTTAAGCCTCATCACAGCCCTGAGAGGAGGAACTATTGTTATCTTCATTTTGTGGTGAAGAAATGAGGCTCAGAGAGGTGCAGCGAGTCAAAGCGAGATTTGTCTGGCTCCAAGCCTGACTTCACTTGGCTTGAGATTGTTTTCTGCTGCTGTCAGTTATTACCTCTGTTGTTTTCTTTCCTTTTGGTAGGTGCACAACCTTATTCTTTCTTTCAAAATTAGCTCGAAATGTTCAGTAACTCACAAAATAGTTCTGTGAAACTCCCCTCTTCTCTGAGTGAACAGCCAGATCCCGCTGATCGCCAGAGCTCACCTCCATGCGTGACTGCGCAGCTCACCCGCCTGCAGGATGCTGCCCTGCTGAGTGGCTGGGCATTCTCCCAGTCAAGTCCCTTCATGCCTCTTCCTCCACCCCACTCCCCACCAGTTTTCTTTTTGCCCATAAATTATGTGGGGCATTTAATTTGGAGTTGTTTGGAATTAACTAACATTTAGGGTCAGTATATTTGGAGGAGACCCTCAAATTTCAAAGGTGCATCCATAAAACTGAACCTGTCAGTCCCATGTTCCTTAGAATGTGTTTTTTTCTCCTTTAATGAGGAGGAGAAGGCCCATTGGAGTAGAGGGGGGATACTTTGTCAGCCACCCATGAGCTCTCATGTTCGTTATTCAAGTAGAGAAAAATCACTAGCAGTACGCTCACGTGCTGCCTCCAGGAACGTGGAGAGAGAGCAGGCCACCCATGTGGGCATAGATGCCACACTGGGTGCCCCAGCACACGCACAGCTGGAGAGACTTGCAGACTCATGTGGAAAATGGCCATTTGGGGATCATGTTTAGTGCTCGAGTGTTGTCTACATGTCTATGCTTTGGGGGAAAAGCACGCACAATATCCAAGCGAGCCTTCGGGAGTGGGAACAGGCACTGGGGACATGTGTTGTGTGTTGAAGCTGCTGTCATGGTGTGAGAGTCAGAGGAGCCGCGGCTTCCAGCTCCATCCTTGTACCGTATGGGTGGGGACACTGAAACTCTTGGAAACATTTCTTGGTATTTACATAATCGGAATGTTTTTAACTTCAGCTTTTTGCTTTGTAAGGTAATGAGTAAGTCACCCCTCTATCCTGAGGAAGAGAACAAATCACCACAAGGCTACAAAGGGATTTTGGCTGTCAGCGGTGCCTTGTGACTTTTAGGAGAGAACACTGCGCAGGCAGGCAGGACAGCCGCACGCAAGGCTTCCCCAGCTGTTGCTGACTGTAGCCGTGTGATTCTGCAACAGCCTTTCTGAAGGTCACTTACTGCATGCTGAAATGGAAATTATAATTCTTAGCTGGTTGCAAGCAGAGAACCGGACCCTGTTCCACTGGCTGAGGACACAAAAGCCCCAACAGCAGTGTCAACATGTTATGTTGGACGCGCAACCAAGCGGCATCTATGTGTCGTTGTCTCAGCAACTGTCATTTTATCAGATTAGATGCATGTTTGGGATCTGGGTCCTGAGAACGAATAGGACTGGGATATAAAGTCAGAAATGGGGGAATGAACATGTGTGAAGCATGAGGCCTCTATGCAGGCACAGGAACAGGGCAATGGGGCGTGAGTAGAACCAGACAACCCGAACACCATCAGCCACTCACACTATACCAGCCCAGCCTGTTTTGTCGTCCTCCGTGCAATGGCAAATGTCTCTTGCCCGCAGAGAACAGGACAGGTGACACGGGGCCCTTTCCACCATTCCTCCCTTCCCCCCTTCTTTGCTTCGACATGTATTTATTGATCATCTAATGATTCTGGAAACTACCCTCCCCCTTACTGACCATTCCTTCCGACAGTCTTGAGAAAAATCAGGTTTTTATATCCAATCTTAATGTTCCTTTCAAAGAAAACCTCTGTAATCTCAGCATTGCTTTCTGTTGAGAGAGAGATTTTTTGAGAAAGGTCAAAATTCAGAGCTGTTGTCTAAATGGTAAATGGCCACTTACGCACTGGTAAAAATTAGTATTTCCAGTCATTAGTTTTGTATTTCTCAGCCCCTGATGAATGCTTCCCCTTTATAAGTAATGATTTGTAAACAAAGAAAATGATTTTTGTATACCAACTGATTTTGCCATCTGGATGCATCTTGGCACCATGGATCAGAATTTTGAGAGATTGGGCCTATTTTTTTATGGTTTTGAAACTCTTTACAGGTTTCAAAACAATGTAATGTTTTCTTGAGAGTCTTATATATTTTCCTTCTAAGTTGTTTTTGTTTGATTGTGCCTGCTGTCCTTACTTGGCAGTAAACATGAATTTTTAAGTTTGTTTCTGGATCTGAATGAATTCTCCAAAAGTAAATTGGTTGAAAATGTTTCTCCAGTCACTAATTCCTGTATTGATGTTTTTTGTGCACTGTAAATTTATATTTTTGCCAGAGTGTTTAAAGCATTTTGCTTGTTTTCTACATTATTGAGCTTTATGATTTATTTTGAGCCACCATTTACACGTAAGCCACAGTCTCACGTGTGCCCACTTTATGGGTTTATTTTATCTATGTACCTCTTTGCTGAGACCTTCTTCATAAAAACACGGGAAGCTTCTGGAGTGTATGGTGACAATTAAGGACATGGACATTGGGGAGTTAATAAATACCTGGATTTGAATTCATTTCCACCTTCATTAACTGGGTGTTCTTGCAAAGTCACCTGCAAAATGAGGATGATAATACCTATTGCACGTGTTGCTCTGAGAATTAAATGAGTGACCATTGTAACGTGCTTTACCCAGTCCCTGGCATGAAAGAAATGCTCATTCATTGATAGCCATTGTTAAAAAAGATTAAAAGAGGCGCTCCTTTTTTGCTGTTTTTGAGTGTTCTAGAAAAGAGCTGTTAGATTTTAAATATGACTGTAGCACTGGATTATGCAATTCAAGAGATGTGAATTATTTGGCTAGATTTGCAGGTGTCTAACCCATGGCCTACGGGCCACATGTGGCCCGGGATAGCTGTGAACGGGGCCCAACACAAAATCGTAACTTTACTTATAACCCTTTTTTTGCTCACCAGTTTTCACTAGTGTTCGTGTACTTAAGTGGCCTAAGGCAACTCTTCTTCCATTGTGGCCCAGAGATGCCAAAAGTTTGGGCACCCCTGGCTGCTAGATCATTTCTTAATTAATTTAGTATTCACTGATCAGAGACATTATTGCACCTTTCAGTCTAAGGTATACTTAGATCACTTAGGAGGTGCAGCTGTCTCATTTTCGCCAGCCATCATTAACTGCGGGGATTAAATCGCTGAAACCAGTGGCAGGAATAGTTCTCTTTGACCAGTTGTTTTCCACCAGACACCTGCTTCCAGCTCCACTGCATTGCAGTCTACCTGTGTCTGTCCCTCCCCTTCCTCCACCCCCTGCACTGGACTTTCCAAGGACAGGGTGTGTCTCTTCTTCATCTCTCTGCTGTGCTACCAGCATGGCTGTCACACTGAGTGGACCTGAATCCTAGGCAGGGGCCCATGAAACAAGCAGTGAGCTAGAGTGAAACATGATGGAAAGATTTCAGCCTCAACCTCTCTGTCCGAGAGGACCGGTACAGTATTAAGTACTTTCTGGGTCTCCATTGTACTGTAAAAATACTGAAATAGCTGCTCTGTGGATGAGAAGTAGAAATAAAACTTCGCCTCTGATTGAGGAAGTCAGAAAGGATAAGTAAGTGTGAAAGAGAAACACAACCAAATATAATAGTAGTACCCATTTGCCAATAGATGCACAGTGTCCGTATTTACCACATGCCACATAGCTAAATATACAATATCGTTAGTAGAAGGGACAAGGAGTTTTACTTTGGGATTTTATTTTGTTTTCCTTAGGTGCTATCTTAATTCTGTCAAGTTGAGGTAGAGGACTGGCCAGGATTTAAGAGAGGGAAAGTGAGTGGAGTTTGTGGGGAGGTATTTTTAGTGTGGTGTCCTCGGACACCTCGCCGTGCGCGTTTGCATCATTCTCTGTGTGCCCTGTGTTGTCAGGGACACCACGATCATCAACCACTCGAGGAACGGCAGCTACGGCGAAGGCTCACTGGAGGCCCACATCTGGCAGGAGGAGGAGGAGGTGGTGCAGGCCACCAGGAGGTGTCAGGACATGGAATACACGTAAGGGACAGCCTTGTGCGAGGCTGTGACACTGGGCTCCACTCTGGTCACTCGTCTCGGGACCCCAGTGACCGACGTTTGCACTCATAGGCCAGCCCCCTTCCTCCTTGGGACAGCTGATAGGTTCAGCGAGTTACTCTCCAAGTTGTGAAAAGAACTCAAGTATTTCCTGGATTCTCGTTTTTGGCCAAGAAAATTTATCTTCTCCCAGAAAAGCTGTTCATCTTTTAATTGTCTTTTTCAGAAAGTAGAGAAATTAACTTCCCTGGAAAGCTGACCCTGTGTGAGGCTTCATAGTTCCCATGCTTCCTGCTGCTCTTCCCCCTACATGCAGGCCCCTGAGCTGGTCCCTGAGCACACTGTGGTCCGTGAGGCCCCTGCTAGGAGGCCATGGTCGGCCTAACCCATGCCATCAGGTTCCCAGGGAGCCCCAGAGTCTCCTGAGGGACCAAAGAAGGTGCACCCTTTTAATCTACTACAGAAGAGCCATCTTATACGATCTGCAGATTATAAATGTTTGAAAATTGTACTTCCATTCATCCTCCGTCCTGAATCACAATTCAAGTCTCTCGGGTAGCCTGAGAGCGATGCTTCAAGTTTTTCTAGCCAAATGGCTTTTTGATTATGACTGTTCTGTTTTGTTTTGTTTTGTTACACAGCATTAAAAACCTCCATGCCAAAATCATAGAGAAGGATGCCATGATTAAGGTCCTTCAGCAGCGATCCCGTAAAGATGCCGGGAAGACGGACTCCTCGAGCCTGCGGCCAGCCCGCTCTGTCCCTTCCATTGCCGCGGCCACCGGGACACACTCCCGCCAGACCTCTCTCACCAGCAGCCAGTTAGCTGAGGAGAAGAAGGAAGAGAGGACCTGGAAGGGGAGCATAGGTGAGCCCCACGCCTCCTTCAGCCTCGCGTCTGGAAAGCAAGAGCTACTCTGGCCCTGAGAGGCAACCTAGTCTGGTGGAAAGAGCCCTGACGCTTTGGTGGGTGGTATCAGGCTCTGTGACTCACGGGACAGAAGTGCCACTGAATACTTCCAAGTCTCAGTTGACTCATCTGGGAAATGGGGAGGAAAACCATCCATACTTTGGTTGTGGAAGTTAAACGGGCTCTTGTGGAAGCAAAGGCTCTACCACCAGCTTGGCTGTTGGCCATGGTTTGACTCATGCAATTACTATCATTATTGTTGAAAGTTGAGGTAACTGGCCCTTACAACCTCTAAGAGAAAAAGTCCACAGAAATCAGGCCTCTGAACTTGGCTCTTCCCCAGACCAGTTGCAAGACAGCTCACCTCTGCTTCTGCACCTAGAAAAGCAGGGCAGTGTCTGCCCTGTTATCCCTGGGGCTGTGCTGAGGGCAAACTGAGATACTGGGGAGCAAGCACTTCTGAAGAAGTGTGGTCGAGCAGAAGAAGTTGGTGGTCATTTTTGTTTTTGTTTTTGTTTTCTTGTATTATTGCTCGGGGAGAATTTTGAGAATTCTGCGGATGTCGTGTTAGCCACGAATGAGGTTCCTGGGGCGAGGGCCGGCTTGTTGACGGGCTCACTGAGCCTGGAGACAAAGTGGGCAGCGCCACCCCGCACGCGGGCAGCCGCCCCGGACACACGTCCTCCACTCTTTTCCCTTCCCTCTGGCAACTCCAGGGTCTGGCTTTCCTTTGATGCTTTTCCCTGGGTCAGAGTGTGTTTTGTTTATCTGTGGAGCCGAGAGCCAGTTTTTCTCAGCAGGGGCCTGGCTGCTTCGTGCCGAAGGGTGTAAGAGCTTCCAGTATGAACCTGACGGAGTTGGGGGGATCAAAGGCACCCAGCCAGAAGCTCTGTTTGAAGTCCTTCCATGGGTCGCTTGAGCAGCCCCTGGCCTCCAAGGAAATGTACTTCAAAGAGGACGTATGTGGACAGCAGCTGGGATCATCAAAGACCCTCCCAAGGACACTTAGCTCTCGCCCCAGTTAGAGAGCCTGGGAGTCAGTGCTCAGAAGCCTGGTAAAGAGTCTGAAATGCGCTCGGGCCAGTTTGTGACATCCAGCCAGGCAGGCATTTCTCTGGTGTCTGTGCCTGTATCCCTTAGCGTGTGGCGTGTCTACACCAGGCCTGGGAGGCAGACCCAGTCTTCAGGGAGACATTGCTGTGTTCTCTGCGCTGGTGTTCCATACTGGAAGCTCTTACACCCTTCGGCACGAAGCAGCCAGGCCCCTGCTGAGAAAAACTGGCTCTCGGCTCCACAGATAAACAAATGTGATTGGTGTCCACGTGTCACAGAAACAGAGGGACTCCGACAGGCCAGGCAGGGGCACACATTCCCGGGCCACTGCCCAGTGCCTGCGTTGCTTCCATAGTTTCTTGCCTAATGGGCTCTGGAAGGAGGTAGGGGTAACAGTGTAGGCCTTCCTCATGGCTCTGGGGCCCCCAGGTGACATGACTGCGTAGTGACTTAGTTCCACAAGAACATTCTTGTCTGACTACAGAGTTTGACAGGCAGCTGATTAGGTGGGAAGAACACAAGTGGGTGTAAAGTCAGGCACAGCTTGGCTTGGATCCCATTTCTGCTACTTCTTAGCTGTGAGAACTTCATTTCGCTGAGCTTCTATTTGCTTGTCTCTAAAATAGAAGATAACAACAGGACCAGTCTCATGAAACACAAAGTGAGATGGTGTGTGTGAGGCACCTAGCGGAAGACCCTGGCTGCTCAAAGTGTGGTCTGTGGGCCAACGTCACTGACATCACCTGGGAGCTTGTTGGAGAAGCAGAGTCTCCAGTCCCACCCACTGAATCGAATCTTCGTTTAACAATATATCCAAGTAACTAATAGGGCGTTACATATGAGAAGTGAGAGCTGTAGACAAACTGAATTGCTCTGTGTTGAGTTATGAATGGGCACCTTGAAATAGCCCTGGTGAGGATACTTTATGAATTGCTGGCTAGTTAAGATACGTGAACAAATAGTTGATTGTACTGGTCACATTTTCTACAGGCTAGTACTCAGGCGTGCTGGCTCTTTTCTGAATGTGTGCTGTATTTCATTATTTAAAAATGAAAGAGTTGCCCTCCTGTCCATCTCTGCTGGGAGATGTTAAGGAGAAGGAAAAGCACTGCCCATCGGGCCTCCCTTGCCCTCGCCAGCACGCCCTCTGCCCCACCCCCAGCCTGCCGGCTGGGGGTGTGGGAGGGGGGCAGGAGGACCAAGAGGGGCCTGGCTCTTCCCAGAAGCTCAGCTGGTTTCCTGCCTCTTGGGGCCGTGGCTTCAGCTGCGAGGGTCTCTTCTGGGTAATAATGTGCACAACTCAATGTTGTTCTGAGCTGGAAACTAGTTTGTATATGAACCTGGCACTGTGGGAGACCCTCTGGTACCAAGGCTGGGGTGGAATTGTGGGCCATTCAGAAGCAGGGCAAATTGGTGGGACCATGTCTAAGACCAGGGAAGCCTTCACTTTTCTTTAGGCACACAGTGAATGAATACAGCACTCTTCAGTCAACAAGGAAATCATCTCCAGACTGGGGTTTTCGTGTTTTGTTTTGTCTTAAAGGCTAGCATTGGAAAAAGCTGTCTTTCTGTTCCCAGGGCTGCTGCTGGGGAAGGAGAACCATGAACACGCTTCTACCCCCGTCCTGCCCACCCCATCTGCTGCCGCACTGTCCCCCACAGTGTCCGCCACATCGGCCAGCAGCGCCCACGCTAAGACGGGCAGCAAGGACAGCAGCACCCAGACGGACAAGAGCACTGAACTCTTCTGGCCCAACATGGCCTCCTTGCCCAACCGCGGCAGGCTGGGCGTGACCCCTTCCAACAGCCCAGTCCTGAAACACCCAGCAGCCAAAGGGACAGCAGAGAAACTGGGTAAGAGGTTCCGGATCTCCTATAGAAAACTGTAGAAAAATGTTGAGCTCTCTGGCCTCACAGAGGGAACCATCTGTTGAGCTGGGAGTAGAGCCACCCATCAGCTTTCACTTTATGGGGTTTGTTTGTTTGTTTGTTCGTTTGTTTTATGATTGTGGTTACCCTAATGCATGTAGGCTCTGTGTGTGTGCTCTCATGGGAATAAAATGTGTTTAGACACTCCTAATTTATTACCCTTCAAAGGAGCACACAACCTGAGTGTGCCCTCTTAAGTGTATGCTTTGCGCCCAGTTCTTCCCTACAAGGAGAGGAAATAGACAGGCTCTGAGGGGTGTTGGGGAGCCATTAGCAGGCCCCCAGCGCAGAGTCATGGGGTATGTAGACATGGCCTTACTCGTGAAGGATTCGGGGTCGGGAACGCCTCCCAACTGAAGGAAAAGGCAGGTTTAACCACAGAGGAAGGGAACTTCTGGCACCACCCTCAGGCCACTACTAATGTCACTTTAAAACTTGAGAGAGAAAACAGCTGGGGAGGCGTGAGCTTGCGGTGAGTCCGGAAGCACCTGGGTAAAGAATAGACTTGGCTTCCTCATGGGGACTAATCATAGTCCTGGAGATAGCCCTCTTCAGGAATTCTTTTGAGGAGGTGGTGTTTTGGGGGGCAGAAATTAACGTTTCAAGGGAGTTCTTTATTTTCATCCTACAAAATAGACATACAGGACTGTTTTGGGGTTTTTTTTGGGGGGGGGTGAGATTTAATTCCTGGAATGCCCTTTCCAAGAAGGCAAGGGATCTGTGAAAAGTACCTGGCTCCATCATGGGCCAGACTATGTGGCCTTTGCTACATGCCCTGGTGGGGAGCGGTGGTGTTTGACATGGTTCCATTTTAGAGAGACCTGGTAGGACCGTGTCCTTCCTGAGGAGCGGCTACTGATGTGCTCCTTGTGTTTGGCAGAGAACTCTCCTGGCCACGGGAAGTCACCAGACCACAAAGGCCGAGGCAGCAGCCTGCTCCACAAGCCCGAGTTCCCCGACGGGGAGATGATGGAAGTCCTCATCTAATGCTGGCATCCGTGTTGAGTTTTGCAACAGACATTGACAAACAAACAAGGAATGTGTCAAAGAGGGAGCAGAATGATCAGGAAGGTTGTTGATGGAAAATCAGGAATGATTGGAACTGATAAAGATGTCAGATTAGTGAGAACACTTTTTATAAATGTTAAAAAAAAAATCAGGAGACCTACCTGAATGAAGATGAAGAGAATGCCATGGATTTTTATTGCATATGGTGGAAGAGAGACGACGCATGTAGGTTTGGAAACAAAGGAGAAATGGGAAATGGAATTTTTCATTGTACAGAAAATGTATCTCGTGGAGAGGGTCTGTGTACACCCATTTTCTGGTTATAAACAGATAAACCCGAACACGAATCTTCCTTGCAATGTCCCCATTCTCCTTGCCTCTTAGCATCTTTGTTTCAGAAGAACCTCCTAGAAATCCCTAGAGCCCACCCGGGGAATTAATGTAATATTACCTCTGCCATCCGCAGGGTGTCCTCGGAATGTGTGTGGGTGTGACAATGAGCTGAAATGTCAAGGGGTGACAGGAAGTTTAAAATACGGTCCTCATCTAATTACCTGCTTGGTTTGGATTTTTCAGGAGATAATGGGGCTTAGCTTTTGTGGGCTCGGCAGTATTTTCTGCACAGAATGGGAGCATTATGGTCGTGATGCTCATCCTTCCCAGCTTCCCTGACTGCATCTCTGTTTTTGCTTCATTTTCTTCCATTTTATTCTTTCTTCCCCTTCATTTTTTTTAAATTTTAAAATAAGACATGGCAGAAGAGGTCCAGTATTTATTAAAGCAGTATCTGAACTGTCACCGTTCTTGCTGTGTTTAACAGTGCGGGTGGGATGAAGCCGTAGGCTGGCTTCCCGCCTGCTTCCTTGGGCTGCAGCTGTTCGCCCCACTCCGCCTGCGCTAGGGAAGCTTTGACGAGGCGGAAGGCCCATGCCACTGTGACACGCTGCGTTAACCTCATGGCCCTGGCTTTTTTCTCTCGCGCATGAGCTCTTTTGCACGGGGTTGGGTATTTTCACTCCGTTGCTCTCTTGGGGTGAGACGTTCAGGGCAGCGCTCCAGGAACGAATGACACTTGACCTGGTGGCATCCAGAATCTCACCGCGCACCTGGTACACTTTCTCATATTGTGGTTCTGGAGCACATCCCCCACTCTCCCCGCCCCCTCACACCTCTCTGTTTGCTGTTGATGAGCATGCAGACTTTCGTGACTGTCAGCTCACATGTGTTAAGTGTTTGTCTGTCGTGAACTTGCTTTGTAACCTAACAGGCCAGTATACATACAGTTTGGTCTGATTTTTTCAAGATTTCAGCTTAGGGCAAGTTATCCAAAGTAAAATGAAAATACCATGTTAAAGAGCTAGGAGTGAGGGAGGCAGCGGGCCCCTGTGTGTGCCGGTGCACGTCTGATTCCTCAGACGAGAGGCCTTCCTCACAAACCCAGGAGACACTGGGTCAGAAAAGAGGAGCAGGGGTCCGGCGGTCAGAAGTTTTTGCAGCGCCCTGATGTTTCTCCCGCCCCAGGCCAGCTGGATGCGTGTTATTCCAGGTCACTTTCCTCACGTTGCTTCAGGAAAGAAGGAGAGCCCTGGCTCCAAATGAAGCCTCCCCTAAAGGAAGCCCGAGGACGACACTGCCCAGGAAATGTTGCTTAGGCAGCTTATGTTAGGGTTGGTCTTAGGGTGTAACCTGGTGGAGTTAGAGCCTCCCCAAATTGAAGAGTTTGAAGGATAACAGAAACATAGGCTACAGTGGGCGAAAACCAATGCTTTGCCCAGAGGGGCCTCAGCGGTCCGGTGTGACAAAGTAAGCCGAACTGACTGTCCCAAGCAGCTCTGTGGTGGACACTGAGCCTTGTGCATCGTGTTTGTCAGCTCCTTCGGTCCCAGGCTAAGCGTCACTGAATATTGTGCAGCCTGGGAAAGCGGAGCAGCTCTGGGGCAAGGAGCTCCCTAAATGCCCTGGGGTGGTGGGGGGAGCCCGGAGGCCCCACTAGTGAAGAAGCGGTTGCTATGCACGGGACAGAGGGTCCCCATTCCAATCTCTGTTCTCATCGCTTTTTGTGAGTGATGAAGTTCAGTAGGTGGCTCCCCTCCACCCCCGCCCGTGCCTGGGCCACCCCAAACTTGGGCTGTCTCCCCTAGAAGTGGGTGAGAGCTAGTGCCACAGCCCAGCTTCCCCCAGACCTCGCCTTTGTGCCCTGGCAACCCCCACTGGCACCCTCCCGCACCGGGCGGTGCGCTCCTCCGTCCCCGAATTGCCAGGCGTGTTAATCGTCGGAGTGCAAGCACGGACGTCACCTGTTTCAGTGCTGCTGTGGTCTTTGTCAGTCCTTTTTCCTTCTAACCCGCTAAGACTCTTCTGTAAGAAAGGGGATCTATAGCTTTAAAAACTCTTCTTTTATGGGAGATTTTCTGCCAAGCTAGGGCCCCTGATGCTTCCTATTGGTCCTGCCTTGAAGCCTTGCTTGCATGTAAGGGAAAGGGGTTGCCAAGCCTGAGCACCCACTCTGCATTCTGGGCAGTTTACAGCAGATGATCTCATGTGATTTTCAGAAGAAATAATAGTAGTTCCACTTTTCAGTGCTGTGTGCAAGCACTTTGGTAAGCACCTTTTAATGAATCCTCCAGACACCTGGAAGCAGGGGCACGTTGACTCCATTGCACAGGAGGAAACTGGGGCTAAGGGAGGTTAGGTCACTTCCCGAAGGCTCGCAGCCAGGAGGAGCCGGGATCTGACCACAGGTTGGAGAGGAGCTGGGCTGCCTCTGACACGGGGCTAGTGATGTGATGTGATGTGATGTCTTTCGGTGCCCCGCCCTGGCCCGCTCCCTCCTCCCCGCCCCCCACCGGCGATGTGTGTGCGTGCACACAGCTGCCCCACTCTCAGGAACTAAGAAGTAGGACTAGGCCCAGAGCTCCTAGAATTGCTCATAAACGCCAGGCATAGATGGAAATCTTTGTATTCCGTTATAAGCACAGCCACAAGTCCATCTAAAAAAACACTTGCGCGTTATCCAGAGGCCTGGCCTTCTTCTGAAGTTCCTGGTGGTGTCTGATTATGGAACTTGCAGGTCTTATCAGCAGGAAAGGTAGAGGCTTTGGCTTTGTGTGAAGGCATGTCAGAGGAATTCTGCTTCCTTCTCAGATGTGCTGTCAGGCAGCTTCTGTGTGCTGCCTAGGGACTGGGAGGTGTCGCTCGATTCCAGCAACTAATTTCAGCACATGTGCATTTTCTTCTCTGATTTTCTTCTGCTTCCCCGAGGTTGGCAGCTAAGGATGGTGTTGAGTTCTGCCTGTTCCAAGCAGGCATGCAGGACAGGGCTGCCACGTCCCTCCCAGGGCTCTGGTTGGAGGGCAGAGAGTAGGGTTCCTCCTCTCCTCAGTCCTGCAGGGCTCGCTCTTTGGAGTTTGCCGTGAACCTGACTGCATGGGGTTGGGCTGGATACCGAGACAGTCGCTCCAGATGAATTGTGAACTTGAACAGTTTGGTGATGGTGTTGCTCAGGGAAGAGGCTGTCAGGACGACCTTGCAGGGAAGCCCATCCGTGCTATTTGTTCTCTTCGCGGCAGCATTGGCCCTGAGCCGCCTGTGTCCTCGGGAGCAGCGGGCTGATGGACTGAGGAGTTCCCGCTGTGCAGTGCCCTCTGAGTCCTGGAGACTGGTGAACACGGGTGTCAGGTGAGGCTGGGTTCCCAGGAGGAATAAAGAACAGATTGGGGTTTAGAAGGTTTCCAGGCAGAGAGCTCCTGCTTATACTGCGGGGAGCTATGCTGGCAACAGAGGTGCGCTTTCTAAAACCAAAGTCCTGCCCGCGTCTGCACGGGCGCCAGTGGAGCGTGTTTTCCGTGTGCTACAAACGGCGCCGCGCTCCTGAGCACAGGCACACCGCGGTCATGGTGAGCGTGCGCCCGCGGACGTCCCTCAGCGGTCACGGCTTTACGTAGCCGGAGAGCATCCTGCCCACAGTGGGCTTCACATCCCTAAACCTGAGGGATATGCTCTATAAATGTTGGTCTTCTTGCCTCTTTTCTGGTTAATTCGTCAGTGTGTTTCAAATGTCTTCATTTAGTGTGAGCGGTGCTGAATGGGTTTGCCTCTGATGTGTGGCTCGGTGGGAGATGAGCAGAGTAATTAAGATGTTCCCAGAAGCTGATCAGCTGGGAGGGTGTAAAGAACAGCATTTCAGTAAAGAGATTTCTTCTGGAACTAATTAATGAGCAGTGTTTTTCTCTTCCTTGAAGTAGCATACCCTTTTCCTGTTTGGTAATTTAATGGTGTATAAAGATGTGTGTATGTAGCTGCATACATGTGAGGTAGGACTATAATGCTGTGTGGCGAGTTCCTTTTCTGAATATCCAGGAGACCCAAGTGTTTCATCTTACTTCCTTCCTCAAAAGGGGACCCTTTGGGAGACTCTATACTGATCACTGCAGGGCCACCTGAGTAGAAACATTCTGCAAACGCCTCCATCAGAACGGCCTTTGGGGCCTAGCATGTGCATTTGATTATTCTTAGACATGAGAAATCTTCATCCTTGAAGAGGGACTTAAGTTTGGAAATAATGCCAAGTCATTCTCTCAGTTGGATAAATTAAGATGTGTGATGAGGTCACCCCGTTTTAGCTTTAAAAACAAACAAAAACCCTAAGATGTTCCTTGGAGTCTTTGGACTCCACGAGCCTCTCAAAGTGACCACTTCTAAGGGAGACAGTCGTCATGAGTACATGTAACTTCTAGTGAATTCCTTGTAAACTGTTCTCGTGCCATGCCTTGTATGTGTTCACATCTCTGCACACCCCCCGGGTGTAAGTGCATATTCATTAGTGTACACCCAGTAGGTACCCTGCAAAGCCCTGTTATGCTTAGTGCATGTTATTGTCATGTTATGCTCTGAGTGAGGTGTTCGTCATGAAACTTGGCTTCGTTGCAGAATTAAAATATGTTCTCAATATAATGAAGTACATATACGACATTTTCTTGTATCAGCTGCAGAAGCTTTGATGCCCAGTGGTGTGTTTACATGTGATTTTGCCTAGGACTCTGTTCACATATAGACACCTGTGAGTATTTATTACAAAACGGAACGTAAGCGATTTACCCACAGTGGTTTTCTTTGAGTTACGGTGTTCTTCCCCTTCGAGGAGTGACAGGAACCTCCTCCTCCGCGAGGCACTTACAGAATCTGTGCGATTCTGGGAACGAGGGCAGGTGCCTGCAGTGACCTCAGCCAGAACCCAGACGGCGCTGGAGCCGCCTGCCATGTGTGCTGCTTTGCTTGGCGGCCCCTGCTGTGTGCTCCCCGGCGGCCTCTGGTGTCACATTGGGGCATCTTAGTCTGCTGGTCTGTACTGAAGGGTGTACAGAGCTGCACAGGTGGATGGATCTGTGTACAGAGTCAGGAGAGTCCAAGAGCACCATGTGTCCCCCGAAAATACCGATACTGTTGGTCAGCCAAAGATTTTCCTCTTCTTTGCTGCTTAAACTTGTGCCTTAATATTGTATATAATAAATGGATAATATAGCTCTTCTTTCCCTCATGCTTGCTCTTTTCTTTTCCAAAGAACTTGCCTACTAGGTGCTCAATAAATGTTTGTTGAATTCCATTTCGTTTTATTGCTCGGAGGCGGCCTCGCTGGCCATTGTGCCCCCAGACGCATCTGGTGCCCCTCTCGTGGGCCTGGCCTCCACTCACACACACTCATGATTCTGAGAAGGAAATGAGTCGTCCAGACCACTGGGCCTCGGGACACAGTCTCCCTTTGATCTTCCCTGAGTGTCCTCTTTTGGGGCTCCCGGGTTCAGAGCCAGCCAGTGACCACTGTCACTCAGAACAAACCTAAGCAGCCTTGGCCCAGAGTCTGGGCTGGAGTCAGACGTGTCTGCACCCCAGGAATGACAAGGAAGACAGAACTGCCTTTTCAGTGTCTTAGAGTCACAGGAAATGAGTGGGAGCTTTAGCAGAAAGGGGTCCCATGGTAAACTGGTCAAGTTCAGGTGGGAGCTCAGGCACTGAAGCATCAGAACAGAATAAACCAAGTGAAGGCTCCTCCCAAGAAGACACTGTTGGGGAGGAGGAGGTGCCCTCTCTTTATTCTCTGATTGTGCCTCTTTCAGCAGAGAGAGTAATGTGCAAAAGATGGCAAAGGGGTACTTGAACCCAGGACATGGGACCTGTGCACTGGCAGTGCAAGATGGGAAGGTGCTGGGAGGCAGCAGAGCTCAGGCTCCTCTCCGCTTGGGTTCTTCCCCATCCTGCCTTCTACCCAGAGGAATTCTCTGCAGGGACCCCCAGATCTCTGCCTGCATGTAGATGTGACTCCTGTAGCATAAAGGACAAACTCTTCAGCCCCCAGCCTCCGCCTCCCAGGAGCGCTCCAGGAAGACAGCAGGGGACCTCGCTGCCGTCAGGGCTCCGCTGCGGCCCCTCCTGAGCTGCACTCGCCTCTGCCATCTCCCTGCCCTGACCCAGCTCGCAGCTGGTGTGAGGTGCCCAAGTGCGGGCGTTCTCTTGGCCCCTTAGACCCCACAGGAGGGAAAGCGCATCCCCAGCGGTCCTGTATAGTTCTGCTGCGAGGTGGCCACATGGTACCCTGAAGGATGCAGGCCTGTGTCCTGGGGTCCTGGGCTGGGACCTCCAGGAACTACAGGGGGTGACCATTTTTTTTGGATTGCCTAGGCTCTTCCTTATCAGGAGTGAGGTCCAAAATGAGAAATGAATCAGGAGCTCTGAAATAGCTTTCTTAAAAAACAAAAGTTCTGACAGTGAAATAAAATATTTCTGTCATTAAAGAATGTCGCTCTTTTATTATTTCTGTTGCCCTTTTATCAAGTGTGACCACGTGTGTCCGATGCGCTTCCTTTCCTGGCCCTGTTCCTGGCCGGCAGACATCAGTACCCTGTCCGGTGAGCCTGCACTCTCGACCAGCCTGTCACCCCCTGAACTCCCTGCATGGAGCCCGGAAACAGCCCTCCCCCTATGGTGTGGATCTCTGTCAATGGGTGGCTCTTCCTAACATGTTAATGCTAATCATAGTCCTATTGCTACAAATGGATAATATGTAACTTGACATCCAGATAGGTTTCTGTCTTCTGACAGAGGGAGGGCCTCACACATATTGAGTTGGCTTCGGAATATTACTTTCCTTCAACAAGCCCGGAGGTAGGTGTTATCATACATCCTCACCCCTGAGTTTCAGATGAGGGAACAGGCTCACGAGGAGCACAGTGTGCACTTGGGCTCTGCCCTCCAGCCCGGGCCTGCTCATTTCCCGGTCCTGTTCTCTCTGTGCACTCTGTCATGGCCTTTGACTTTCCTTCATTTTCATTTTTAATGGCTTGTTTGCCTGCGTTTGTTCTTCATAGTTCTAAAGGAATTGATAGGCAGATGGCTAATTGGAAAAAAAATAACACCTTAGGTGCTGGAGTGTTGGACGACTGAATGAGCCACCCCTCGGGGCTGAACGAGAGAAGAGCCGCACTGCACCCACACAGGCACACGGGGCTCGCCAGGGGCCGCCCTGAGCCTCCCGCAGCCATTCCAGCCCTGCCTCAGGCCGCTCCTGCCACAGCCACTCACACATGTCTGTCAGCTCATCTGTCTGCGGCAGGAACAGCCTTGTACCCAGAATAGATGCTCACTAAAATTTGAGCTAAATGTGGGCTATCCCAAGCTTCTTGTTGCATGTTCAATGACCATTTTCAGGAAAACTGAAGTTGAGTCTTATTTAAAAATATGCAAGTACCGCACATTTGTTAAAAAAATAACAGAAGTTACAAAAGTATATAAAATAGAAGCCACGCCCTCCTCTAAATCCCTATTTTAACCATTGTTAACAATTGTATATAACAAAATAGGTATAGAGAGATGGGTGAATGAGTATTAATTTTAAAAATAAGATCATGCCATTTCATACAACTCTTCTTCCACTCAGCGGTAGATCCTGGGGCGATTTCTCTCCCAGCTTCGCACTCTTACTATCTTCCGTGAGTGTTCCTTTGTGTGGAAGAGGGGAATTTATTGACACCCAAAGCGTGGTCCTTGGTGGCCACCCAGCTTCCCCACGGCACTTTCCCAGGAGTTGAGCACTGAGAGCAGGGGGAACCCGGGAGGTGCTCAGTTTTTCTGCCAAGAAAGAGGCCAAATTTTGCGACAATCAGGCTTGGCCAAGTGCTGTCCCAAGCCCCTCCAGGGCATCATCACATTGTCCAAGTGTCCAAGCACAAATGGGTAAGTGACGCTGTGAAGGCGCGGGGACCCCAAGGACTTGACAGGGCACGGCGTGCCCTGTTTCTATCCAGAAAGCCTGTCAGCTCTCCAACCAAGGGGCTGCTTTTCTGTCCAACATCCTAGCAATTGGCCTGGAGAACACATTCTCCTGGCATAATGCGACCTGCGCTACTCTGACTCTGCGAGCTGTCGGTGGCATTTATCCTTCCCTTGTCCCTAGCACTTTCATTTTGCAGAGTGTCTATTGGATTTTTATAAATATTTAGGTTTAGGAATAGACTGTAAACAGAAGCTCAGTTTGTGAATCATTTATCAGATTATTACTAAAAATTAATTATCCTCCTAGCACATTTCAGATGCTGGAGGAAAGTAGAGGGTACAGATTGCCCAGCTGTTCCTGCTCTGAAGGAAGGGGAGGAGGGATGGCGGTGAACTGAACACCTACTGTGTGCCAACCATTTTGCATCAATCACTGCATTTGGTCCTCAGAACAGCAAGTACAGAGAGATGCAGAGAGATTAAGCAAATGATCCAAGGTCCACACTTAACCAAGGAAGTGTCAGGGTAAAATTTGAGTATGTTTAGCTGACTAAACATCAAGATTTTCCCTCTATATCGTGCAGCCTCCATGTTTAAGTCCAACTGAAGTCACATGATACATCCGGGAAACAAATTGCTCCTTGCTCATCCTTGTTGGGTCATGTGTGCCAGAGTCAGCCTCCAGACAGACCTAGTAAGACCCCACCATCCTCAGCAGACCCCAGGCCCAAGGCAGCAGTGTGGGCACCCGGCCCTGGTGAGGACAGACGGAGGCTCCACCTAAAACTTGCCCGTGGCAGCCTCGCAGCTGGGACACATTTAGAGAGCCCAGGCTGAATTCCCGCCCCCACCTCTATCTCTAAGAGTTCCCCCCCCCGCCCTGCAGGGGGGCAGCCTGCTGTCCTAGCTCAGCCTCCTGAGAACTGCTGGGAGGGCTTGACACAGGACCCAGTGGAGTTCCCTGCCCTCTTCTCTCATGGGTCTATTTACTTTCCCAGTATGACCTTACTGGAAGAAGGCAGTTGGAGGCAGTAACCACAAGTGTCTTTATTAAAAAATCAAAAAACAAACAAAAAAACCCTTAAATATCACCCTAGCCAGTGTGCCTCAGTTGGTTAAAGCATCGTCTCATAGACTGAAAGTTAGTGGGTTTAATTCTTGGTCAGGGCACATGCCTGCGTTGGGGATTCTGTCCCAGGTCAGGGTATGTACAGGAGGTCACTGACAGATGTTTCTCTCATCTCTCTCTCTCTGCCTGCCCCCCCACCCCGGGAATAAAAAATAAAAATAAAAATAAAATTTAAATGTCAGTAATTAAATCTTTTAATTTAAATACTTTGGTTTAAAGTTTTAGATGTTCATCGTTTATATAACCGTTTGTATCTTAGCAAATAAAAACCTCCCTTCCTGTTTTTTCCCGGTGCTACATCATTCACCACTGAATTCACAAACCCGGGCTTGGACAAACGTCACAGCTCGCCAGGCACACGCAGACGAGGTCACATGCACACAGGGGCTCCCTCCCCCCGCACATGCAACGAGGGTGGGGGGAACCCATTGAGAGGCAAAGTAAGAAACAGAAAACACAAAGGCAGCCCTGCTCAAGCCAGACGGGCTGCTCAAGTCAAGACCATCAGTGCCCTGAAGGGAGAGATGAAAGCTCATTGTGTTAGGGCTTGTGGTAACAAACAAAAGACACCACATGTGTTTCCTGTAAAGTAATTTTGGGCCTCGAATGAGTGGCTGATAACTGTGAAATCTCTACTTAGCAACATCCCTCGCCTTGTGCATAATGCCTTTTCCCGGAAGAGGCTGAGTATGTCTTCTCTGCTGTTAACATGGCCTAGAGACAGCTACCGTGATTTTTTTTTTCCCCACACAGGTGGGAGAAACTAGAACCACGCAGAGGATGCATTACAAGGTCCTTTGGGGTTCAAGTGTGTGGGGAGGAGTAGACTTTATCTCTCCCAGTGGAAATGCAAGCTTCTAGAAGAGCAGGGGAGACTGGAAATACTGCTAGTGCTGTGCCCACTTTGGAAAATAAAGTCTGCCACTCTGGGCACATGCCAAACCCAGTACTCAAAGTTTCACGTACATTTTTTTTTCATTTTATTCTGCCCTCTCCCTCATAGAAGGTAGGTATTATTCTGCCCATCTTTCATGCACCCGGGAAGTGAGGCTTGGAGATGTTACGTGGTCCGCCTCAAATGACACGCAAGCGGAGGTGGGGCTGGACTCCACGTGCGAGCCCGTGACCCGCTTTGCTCCCCTCGCTTCTGCGTCAGCCGTGG